ACAAATTAGTAACAAAAGGTTTTGATTCACAGCTTTTCTGATAAACAAGCTTACAAATTTTGAAAGATTCATCCCCTATTTGGCATGAAATTTCAGAAAAGGCGGAAACCCTAGACCCCGAATTTTTCGTGATCCAAAAACAACCAATTTTTCCACCATTTAATTCTTGAAAAAGCTGAATAAAGCTGTTTACAGCCTGCAAATCAGATCACATGCCAAAAAAAACAAAAAAAATGATCAAAAAAATGATAAATTTGAAAGAATCCGTGAAGAACACTGTGCAACCGATGTTCTTCACGGACTCGCCGATTCCGCACAGTGAATCGGCGAGTCACTGTGCGGAATCGTCCGGTTCTCTCTAGAACCCGACGATTCTCGATTTTTAAACCGATCCGGTCCATTTTCATGAATTCCGAGTCGAACCGGGCGAGTCCGGTTCGACTCGGCGATTTGTTAAACGCTGGATTATCATATGCCTTAAGTTTAGCTTTACTTACTATTTGTTTATTGTTTTTCGTAGCATTTTTATATTGTTTTAAATTTTGATTGTTTCTATTATACTGTCAAGTTTCATAATATGATCGCTAATGCCCTTCTGAACCTCATCACTCCACCACCAAGTTTCCTTATCAGATTTTTTTTTCCCTCTAGATTCTCCTATAACTTTTTTTGCCACTTTCTTGATACAGTCAGCCATCTCATTCCAATTGAGATCATCTTCATATTACCATTTTCTTTCTTCACCTAATTTATCCCTAAATAAATCATTAAAGGATAATTTGACTCCTTTAATGATTTTTTAAGGATTTCATACCTTTTAACAATATTTTTTCAAAATTTAACAATAGCAAAGATGACATTTTTATTTTGAAAAACATTTTGATAGGGCTGCAGTCCTATAAAAATAAATAAAGCATCACCTCAAAGATCATTGAAAATTATGGTTTTCGCATCGAAAAAACCTTCAAATCAATCATTTCGGCCTTGAATGTTATTGTAGTAAAAACAAATAAGACTTCAAGCCTTAAAATATTGTAACACATTATCTAGACCATCCATTTCACCCTAAAAATAAGGGTTTATAGATCTATACCATTCTTTGGGTCAAATTTCATAGTCAATGTTGGAAATTGATTTTAGAGCCATCATAGATTTCTAATGACGAAAATACTTTCTGGATTAAGATTTAATGTGAAGCTTTACTTTGTTTTCATAAAGCCTAGGTCTTATAAAAGCCGCATCCTTTAATTTCTAATGCTGTCCATTTTTTTTTTTTGGTTGAATGTTTTAAGCCCACGTGATATTTGGTGAATGCTTTAAGCCTACATGATATTGAAAAGGGTGTGGTTTGTATAAGGCTGAGGCCCTTAACAATGAAAGTAAGGCAAATGAACCCCCATCGCGGAGTGAAAAAGAACATGAAACCATGAGCTCCCAAGTAGTGGGAGGATGATTAGATCTCTGATTGCTTGCTTGTTGAAGAATGAGCTGGTGACTCATAAGCAGTGGCTTGGTTAAGTGAACCCTCCAAAGCTGTAACGCAATATAGTGTCGATATATGTCGTTTCAAAAAAAAAAAATTCATATGACGAGCTAAAAATTTATTTTCATATCTAATTATAAAATTCAAAGCCTAAAAAATAATGTAGATGAAGTAGATCTATGATCACTTAAAAATATTAAAAATTGAGGAGGTACAGACAAATTCATTGAGGAGTATCAGACATTGTTGGAATTATTGAATGACACATATTTGACTCCAAATATGGATGATATCTTTATTTGGGATCGTACCCCTTCGGGAGACTTTTCGGTTAAGTTAGCCTATATGATCGTTGGAGAGAATTAGATGTTGGTTTATTCGAAATTAAGAAAGTGCATGTGCCTCTTAAAGTGCAGTTATTCTTATAGATCATGTGTCAAGATAAATTAACAATTGTTGACAACTTGAGAAAGATGGGGTTTATTATCACCAATGTATGTATCATGTGCAAAGCCAGTGATGAAACTTCGTAGCATCTTTTCATCTCATGCCCTTTTGTTACTTATCATTGGATTATGCTCGCTAGTGTCTTAATCTATCATTACCTTTGCTCTAAAATGTCGGAGTTTTTTTTGACCAATGGATCAGACCCGATATTTCAAAGATGGGAACTATCGTTTGGAGATCTAGTTGGGTTAACCTTCTTTAGAATGTATGGAAGGAAAGAAATAGAAAAGCCTTTGATAGTATAATTGCAGATCTATCTACATTAATATCGAATATTTTGGCAGTTGTAGCTGATTGGTTCCTTGCACATAAGGATAATGGCGTTATTCCAAATAGTCTTATCATTAGCAATCCTTCGGCAGTGACGACTTTGGTTGTTACCATCAACACTCAAAATGAGGTTGTTTGGATACCACTACAAGTGAATTCCTTCAAATTTAATTTTGATGAAAGTTCACTTGGCAATCCAGGACCAGCCAGCTATGTTGGACTCATCAGAAATAATTTGGGTCAAATTATTTTTTCTTATTTGATCCTTGTGGTATCACAACAACAAATGAGGTGGAAACAGGATGTTTATTAGAATGTTTGAAATTGTTATGAACTTTGGAAAGGGGCAGGATTATCGAAGGAGACTTGACAAATGCCATTACCTAGAGTAAGAAAAAGGCCAAAATCTTTTGGAGATTAGAGACTATTTTTCATCAAATTTGAGATATTTTATCAACCTCTACAACAATTGTCTAACATTGTTATAGAGAGGCGAATGAAGATGTCGATGTTTTTACTAAATGAGGAGTTCATATTCCCTATCTGTTTGTTACTTCTTTTCTGTAATATTGTGTTTCTGTTGATGACTTCTTTTCTATAATATTGTGTCAGTGTTTGAACATCTTGTATTTTATATACGAATTAATAACAAGTCGTATGTTAGCGTTAAAAACAAAAAAAAAAAAAAATACTCGTAAACTTTTTCTTATCGAAAATGCGCAACGCCAATGACGTGGCCGATCCCGAATTCCATCGTTCAATCCGACGATAGACAGCACGGATACAAGAGAAAAGAACCATAAAAATAAAGGAATATTTCATCTCTACCATTGATGTTCAAAACGAACGGCAAATTCGCGGCCTATGCGTTGTCAAGCAAGCACCCATCCATCCGTATCAAAATTTCTCCAACGCTCCAGAAGCTTCTCGTTTATCTTGACCGCTAATATCAAAATCGAAGTCGCCAGAGACGATCCTTCCTCGCAATTTCCCTCTTTCTTTTCTTTCTCTCTCATCGGACTCTATATAATTTACAATTTACATTGAAGTAGTGTTCAGGCCAAATTTACATTGAAGTAGGGAGAAGGCCATTGTTTCTAGGGCTCAACTTGTGTCTCTCTCGATAACGCCGCAGACTGCAATTTTGTGACGAAATCAATCAAAGGGTAGGGATCTCTGCAATTTTTTCAAATCGAAGAACAGAAGGTTACGTTATTTGTTGTGAAAGAGATGGAGAACTTGTTCAGCTCCTTCGCGTCAGGGCCTTCGGCTTGGAGCTACGATACCCTGAAGAATTTTCACCAGATCAGTCCTCGTGTTCAGGACCATCTCAAGAGGGTATTTCTCTCTGCATTCTTCTCTTTCTTGCTAAGTTTCTGGCGGAAAATTAAGTATTATTAATCTCTCTGGATTTTCTCTCTCTTTTGTTTGTTGTCTATGCTATTATTCCTTTCGGATTCTCTCTCTTCAGCTTTCAGAATTCCTCGAGTGTCTTGATTTTCTCTCTTGCTCTTGTGGTTTGCCATGAATCGTTTCCAAGATCTGATCGTTTCTATCAATTAATGAGTTTGTATGCAGGTTTATTTGTCACTATGTTGCTGTATTGCGGCTTGCGCGGTGGGGTCTTACTTCCATCTTCTATGGAATATCGGTGGGCTCCTGACCTTCGTTGGAGGGATTGTTTCCATTCTATGGCTTCTGTCTACATCCTCTCACCCTCGTGAAGAGGTTCGTACCTAAATCCTTGCTACTATTTATACTTAATTATTGATTCTCTGACTTTGTCCCAACAAAATCCTCATGAATAGGTTTATCCCTAAATCCTTCCTACTATTTATGCTTAATCATTGATTCTTTATCTTTGTCGCTTCTAAATTTTATTTATGGTGTTGTCTTTCTTGATTTAATGTTCCCTGCAATTCTTTATTATTTATTTATTGTTTGTAATTGGTTAATGCGTTTCTTTGTTGTGTTTCTTGTTGAATTGGGGTTTTCGTTTGTGCTTTTCTGGATTTCTTTTCGTTCTCTTGGAGAATGAGGGCACAAGGAGAGTAATTGTCAGATTTTTTTTATTGTACTTCATTCTTTGCAGAAGAAGAGGTTGGGTCTTTTATTGGCATCTTCTTTCTTTCAAGGAGCAACTTTGGGACCTCTGATTCAGATGGTGATTGAACTGGATCCAAGGTGAGCCTCTTCTCATACCCAATTCTCTTCTCTTGCTATCCCTCTGGGATTCATAGCATACCAGTCCATCAAATTGGTTTTCTATTGATGGTTTTACTTGAATTATGGTTAATTACTTGTTATGTTGTTTGGATCATTGGTGTAAATGATTCAAGAATCTATGGAATCTCATACAAGTCATGGGATAAACTGGATTTAAAATTTATCGATTTGTCTTTTTATTGTTATTCTGGCCCATATTTGAGCTTTCTAATATATTTTTGCCTGTATTTATGTGTTCGCTGGTGTTTTACCTATCTCTCCCTCACCCAATGTTATTTAGGTCAATATGTTACAGAAATGTTGCTAAAAACTTGAAAAAATGAGTTCAAAAAATTGCTTTGGAATTGCTTCCAAGAGTTTTAGTTTCCAATATTTGTTAGTAAATTTGTCCTAAACTCTATCTGCTGTAAGGTATGTTCAACAAGGGAAGTATGATGTGTACTTAGTTCAATTGCAAAGGATATAATTTTTGGAGTGTATGCAAGATGATTGTAATTGCCATTACTTAATGATGAATTTTATGCCACCGTGTCATGGTTTGTGAGGTTTTTATGCATTAAGTCCAGTGACACATTTGAATTGTAATACAACTGGGGTTTAGAATAAAGTTTTGGAATACACAGCCCAAAAAATTGCTTTGGAATCGCTTCCAAGAGTTTTAGTTTCCAATATTCTTTAGGAAATTTGTCCTAAACTCTATCCGTTGTAAAGTATGTTCAACAAGGGAAGTATGATGTGTACTTAGTTCAATTGCAAAGGATATAATTTTTGGAGCGTATGCAAGATGATTTTTTATCATCTTTGGTACAAGAAGGTTACAATTTCCTTTAGTAGGCGGATATGAAATTTGAGCAAATCTTTTTGAGAAATAAAGAACACTTGGCCACTCAATTCCATATATGAAAGCTTGGATGATTGCGACCTCCTCCTACCAACAGTAAAAGATTTTATTCTTTACATGTAAACGTTTTGGTGCTTGATGTCTTAGCTTGTTTCATTTGTTTTCCCCATTATTTTCTATTGTTTTATCTCCATCTTTGCTTTTTCCACTCCCCTTCCTTTCTGCTTCTACTCTATGAGAACAAACCACAATTTAATATTACGGCTAAATCATTTATAGATGAAACCCCTGGCTTGTTGACTTTCAAGTTGTTACTAGCAAAAATATGTTTCTACAAGGACACAAGACTAATGCATGAACCTTTTTGTTTGGTTTATTTTAGCCTTTTGGTGAGTGCTTTTATGGGCTCGGCCATAGCTTTTGCATGCTTCTCAGGAGCAGCAATCCTCGCCAGACGCAGGGAATACCTCTTCATTGGAGGACTTCTCTCTGCTGGGATCAGCATCCTCTTTTGGGTGCAGTTCGCCTCCAGTTTATTTGGTGGCTCAGCTGCAACCTTCAAGTTTGAGGTAAGATATTGGTACTGGTTTTTGAACAAAAATTTCCTTTCATTTCCCTGTGTTGCATGTTGCTATGAGGTAACGAGCTTCTGTTAGCTCTTAGTTTTTCTATCAAAGCCCCTTCTCTCTCTCTCTCCCCTCCCGACTGCTACCACACTGCAAGGGTGTTGGGTTTGATTTCTTTTTCTTTTTCTTTTTTTCCATCCCCTTTGGGTGAAGGTGTGTGGGTGGACGCAAAATCCTTTTTTAATTTCTTGGGCAGTTTTAAAGTTTCCTTTTATATTCTATGAATGACTATACCTCAAATTATCTATACTAGAATTATTTTGTTATAATGAAACACTTCAAATGCTAATACATTTTGTATTGAAAAGTTCTGTTGAACATTTTGTATGGACTGTACCATGTTTTCATGCCTTAAAGCATAATAACTTAACAGTGTGAGTTAATATTGTTCAAAAACATTGAATTAGTTAGTTTACGAATATTGTTAGTTTGTATTTTAAAAAGTGAAATGGTAATGCATCTCTTAAAGTTTTAAGATGCTGAAATGGTGAAGTTTTTTTAAAATTTAAGATGGTGAAATGGCAAAGTATTTTCAAATTTTAAGGATACTAATTTGAAAAAATGTACAGCTCATATTTTTCTTTTATTTGTAAGTGATTTATCACTTCTCTATCTGTATCCCTTTTATCCATTCATTCAGTAGTCGAAAGAACTTGTATATACTCTACTATTCAGACCTTGTGTGTAATTTTTAAATTTCTCAAGTTTAAGACCTTGACTACTTATATATGTTTCACTGTTTAGAAATTATATATTTTATTTTTTAGAGTTTGTAAATTTTGTTTTTTTTTTTAAAAAAAAGATACAGGGTTTTATAAGTTTGAGGTTTTAGTTATTGGGTATATATTGTACTAATTTGTAGGGAATATAGTTGAATGCATGGATTTGCAAGCGCTTGATATCAGGCCAAGCCATAATTTTGGTCTTCGAATAATTATAAAAGACACATGCTCCAAAAGTAAGGGACAAACTCAGAATAAGGTCCACAAAACCTCTGTAGATGTAATTTGTTTTGTAACAAACTCTGAACGAATTGCAAAATTTATTAAAATCAAGGTATGACAAGTAGATAAATGAGAGTATTAGAGTTGAAGTTTGTGCAAATGAGAGAGAATGATTAGAGATACAGATAAAATAAGGGAAAAAAAAAGAAGAAAAGACTATTGGGATTATTTAAAAACCAATAGAATAAAATGGGATTGAAACGGACATATATTTGGCTTGTGCTTTAAGTTTTGGGCTTTATTCCATTCTTCTTTTGTGAGGGGCAAGACAACATCTTCTATTGTATCTCAAACATAGAGTTTTCATTCCAAGATAGATATTTACATGGAGGTGGTACAATCGATCATACTGAGAGATGCTTGTATCGATACCTCCTACTACTTGAATAAAGAGATGCTTCTATAGACACCTCTCAATACATGAAAGAGATGCCTCATGAAGTGGTTAATTTTTGGTAGTATAAGTGGACTGGATTGACCTAATCAGCATCCGTCCTCACCTCGTTAGCATTTCAATCCTCCTTTTTATTCGATTGAGACCTCTCTTCTGAGAAATAAAAGAAAGAAATCTGACTTGAACTGCATGATTGATTAGTGTTTCTTGTGCTTGTCAGTGGCCTTTTTGACCTTAGGGCCTATTGGGATACCTGGTGATGCATGTCTTAGGGAGATGCCAGAGGAGGAGACCTCAAAAATTTGTCCACTGTTTGTTAATGTGATATATAATCATACATTAAGAATATCATTAGTATAAGAATAATAAATGTTGATGTTAATGTATTGTAGTAATATTATTAATATTAATAATAACAAAGCATTGATAATAATATAAAAATAATAGCAAAATGTATTAATAAACATCATCACAATAGTGTAATAATATGCATAACATTAAATCAATGTTGGAGAAGCTGCTAGGCACCACCTAGGCATTGAGGAGGCTGGGCTGCCTTTAGGGGTGGCAATAGGTTGGACCTGAACTCAAAGTTTTTGGATCCGGAACTGATTGGACCCAACCCAAAAATAAAAAATTTATATATTTAAATATATTTAAATTTTATGTTAAATGTATGCATGTATTATTTAAATATTATAACTAAAAATATATAGTTATATCTATTTCAACATTTTATATTAAATATTATTATATTAACACTATTTGGGTTCGGCCTACATGGACCTGGACCCGGACCTAGACCCGGGTCCAAGATTTGGACCTAGATCTGACATGCTGAATCCAATTTTTTGACCCATACCCAGTCACGGGTCGGGTCTCAAGTCGGGTTCTCAGGTCCATTGCCACCCCTAGCCGCCAAGAGACATAGGCGCTAAAATGTCCATTTTTGTTTTTTACGGTTTGGTTAAATACGAAAACCCCGTGGATATATTATAAACTTATAATGCGCTTATAAAAGAATAAAACATAACTAAACACGCATCCAATAACCCAATGTTTCATAAAAATGATAAAAATATTGAAGTTTCGAGTCTGAATAAAAAGCATACAATGTTTCAACTTTCAAACAAGCACGATGAGCTCATAATTCATAAATGAAACTGAGTTTCGTCAATCATTGCTGGCAATAGCATGGCCCTTTCCACCACCAGATGCATTTGAAGCTGATGATGTCAGGCCATCATCGTTAAGAGTCATCCCTTTCCTCCAAATATTGCTCATCTTCCATGGTATCTTTAGATTTCGCTGCTTCCTCATCTAATTTTGTCGTGGACCTTTTTCCTCGTTATTGTGATCTCGTAGCTTGTGAAGTGCTTTGCAGCTTCTTGAACTTGGCTTAGGTTAAGTCCCCTTAAGCCAAGACGACTTCATCATCATCATTATCATTGTCTACCACGTGGTCACTGGTATCATGGATGTGCTCTCTCCATGTAACTCTCCTTCAGCTTTTTGTTGAATTGGACATACATATGGTTATTCATCTTTTATGTTTGAGCCTATTCTTGATCTTTGTAATGCTTGTATCAAATATTTAATAATTTGAAATGTGTACTCTTAGTAAGGTGAATACTCAACAGATAGTATGTAATAATCTACAGTTTCGAAGGTGCTGAAGTTGTGCTTGCAACCAAATGAGCTACAAGTCAAATTAAGAATGCGAATAGTCATTTGTTGTTGGTCATGGGTTGATCCACCATATTTTACCCACCATGAAACTAGACAATTAGATTAAAAACAAAAAGAGAATAGGGACTTAGAAAAGTTGAACACAGAGATTAGAGAATACAAATACTTGGAAGAATTTAATTATTATAACTTACCTGCAGGAACTAATATTATTGTATACTATAAATCATCATTTGAGCCTTTTCCCAACTATTTTGGGTTGGCTATACGAATCCTAGTCTGCCAATCTGTTCTATTTAAGGACTATAGTGAGGCTATAAGTCTCTATATCTTTTCTCACTACTTTCAACCATGTCCTCTTGGGTTTACCCTTTGCCCTTTTTGAGCCTTCTACTTGTACAAACTTGCACCTCCTAATAGGTGCTATACTAGGTCTGTGTTGCACATGGGTAGCCGACTTAAGTTTGCTCTATCATCTTATTACCTAGTGGAGGCACACTAATTGTATTTCACTATAAATACTAATAGTATTTACTGCAGTAATATACTAATAATATTTATTATATATTATACATATTAATTGTAATTATTTTAGTAATTTTATTTAAAAGGAAGGCTATTTTTGAGAGGTTTGAAGTTTAAATTACCAATAATAATAATAATTGATCCTAAATGTGATGATCATCATCACAATCTTTTCCACATGAATCATGGTTCATATTCTACTCTATCAAGGGGCAATCTCAGTGAAGTTATAAGTCCCCATATTTTTTATCTCTACTTCCAACTATGTTTTTTTGAGCCTACCTCTTTTCCTTCATGATTTATCATCATCATCGTCAAAGATTTTTCTCAACTATTTGGGATTGGCTACATGAATCTTGTCCGTCATTCCCTTCTATTAAGGGCCATACCCTCAGTGAAGCTTTAAGTCCCCATATCTTTTTTCAATCAGTAGTTGAGCTCAAAACCTCTTATAAAGAGGTTCTTTTATATAAGGTGCACTAATTAGCACGCCCGTTTCTTACTTTGTTGATAAAAGACGCACTTATACTATATATAACCATTATTCTTCTTCATTTTCTTTTAAAAAAATGAGATGGACTTGGGCGATCCGAGTAACTCGCATCAGCTAGGTCCAGAGTACCTTGCTCGAGTCGATTTTTTTAACACTGATATTAAATATCATAATAGTATAACAATATGCATAAATATATTGATAAAACTATTATTGGGGGATTTGAAGTCTGCCGAAGGCTCCATGTATAGAGTTGTTTCTGGGAAATTTGTATTTCACCTATTTTGGTGGAGTACACATCTTCACAATTTAGCCTCAAAAAGTGTATATAAATATCCACATGGAGATGAATCTTCCTTCTTCAAATGGCATCCAAACTGGGGAAATACCTGATCTCTATAAAAATGAGTCTCCCAGATAGTGATTTCTAGATATCCAAATGGGTCCTTATGGTTTGTCGTTGTGGAGATGGTAAGTTTGATCATCTAATGGGACAGATGCTGCCAAACAACTTCCACGAAAGGTGAAATAGCAAAAGTAGAAGTTATTGAATAGCTCAGAGCAATAGTTGATTTTTGGGTATAAAAAGATCGATTGTTGTCATTAGCTTGATGCTCCAAGTTCATGTGTAGTGTCTTTTGTTTTTTTTTTTTGGGTAATTCAGTGGGGAAGAGAGGCTCTACCCGTATTTTCATGTGTAGTGCGTTGGGAATGGAAACCACAACGTGGTGACTAGGGTGTGGCCACCACGACCTCAGCCCCTTCGCGAGTGTGCAGTGTCCTTCATTGGATATTGTTATCGTTTTTCTCTTTTCATGGTTACGACAGCTTCACTTCGGGTTTCTGGTGTTCGTTGGGTACATTGTTTTGTACATTTTACTGACTATTGTTGTCATTTTTCTCTTTTTGTGATTACAACAGCTTTACTTCGGGCTTCTGGTGTTCCTTGGGTACATTGTCTTCGATACTCAGCTGATCATAGAGAAGGCTCACATTGGGGATTATGATTATGTCAAGCATGCTCTTGATCTCTTTGCTGACTTCATTGCTGTTTTTGTGCGCCTGTTGATCATTATGGTGAGTGATATATTCTTTGCGTGTAATATTATGATCAAGGGAAAGTTCTTTCTTTTGATTGTTATTACGGCGTGGATTTGTTGTAATCTTTATTCACAATATGCTTGCAGGTGAAGAATTCTGGTGAGAAATCAGAGGAGAGGAAGAAAAAGAGGAGGAACTAAGCAATGATAAGAGATGCTATAGAGTATCGCCTGTCCTCATCAGTCGAACTCTTTAAACCTGTGATTGTGGTTAGCATGACTTTATTTTGATCCGAGTCTTGGTTTTATTAAAGTACTGAGAAGACGGTGTTCTACTGTTTTTATTGGCTTGAAATTTGTAAATACGTCCCTTTTGAGTAAAGGGTTTAACAATGGGAATTGAAACAGCCTAGTGGCGGGTGGCTTGGTGCTAAATCATAAATTAGGAAATGGAAAATTGTTTCAAGAGGGCTGGACTGCATTTTAAGTGTAAAGCATCCATTTTAAAGATGAATATACGTAGGTGGTACATCTAGAAACAATGGAAACTAACTGTCCAAATATTTTTTTACTGGAATTATTGTTTTTAGTTTTTAAAATGTATTTATTTTTTCATATTCATGATCTACATTTTAGAGATTACGTGTCTTTAAAAGTTTAAGTATTAAAATTCATCTTAAAAATAGATTATTGATAGGTCTGCATTTGTAGAAATGTGGGCTTGGCTGCATAGAAACTAGGTCATAGCAAATTGTGTGGCATGATCGTAGTTAGTCTCTCATTAGAAACTAGGTCATGATCGTAGTTAGTCTCTCATTAGGAAGAAGTATCTGATTTTGTAGAATACATTAAAAACCGACTTTTTTGAAGGTTTTTTAAAAAATGACGGTTTTTTTTTTGGAGGCGATATGACAAATGAGCGTTTTCTGTTCTCAAGAATTTTTCTTTAGAAGAACTACTTTCTTATTTGGAAAAAGTTTTGTATAAGTTATCAACTTTATATTGTACTTGTATAAGTTAGGTGCATCTAAAAACTCTCAAGATTCATAGATTAAAAAAAAGAATTTGTGGGATTTGTAGACAAAAAAATTGTTTATCTATTTTCAAGATTTTCAAGTGTTTATAGATTTTGAAACTTTAAATTTAATTTCATAATTGGGAGGCAACAAGATATTTTAAGCTTTGTAGGAAATTATATGTTTGCCATAATTTTGAAGATCACTTTACTTAAAGAGTAGAAGGTTGACATATTTTAAGCTTTGTAATATCATTAACAATGATATTACCTACACCCAAATTTATTCATGACAACCTAGAATCTTAGAGATTGAGAGAGAAAGAGAGAGAGAGAGATGGCAAACACAAATATCGGTTTATATAATAGTGCTCAGTGATTAATTCAACTATAAGACGTTTTAGCATTATTGTTATGCTTGCTTCCCGTGATGGCATGCAAATTTAGAGAAAACATTCAATGCTCTATTATTACAATTTGTTGATAAAGGTTTTCATTGTGTGATCTCCTTTTCTCTCTGTAGTAATATACGTTATGGTTAGAGAATCATAAAAGAAAAAAAGATAAAATTGAATGCATAAAGGGCAAAAAGAAAAAACATAGAATATAACGTACCTTTGATCTTCATTTGCAGAATGGCTATTAGTTGCTCTATATGCTTGCTGAAATGGTGACTCTCAAAGAGGAATGTTGCTTATCTTCAAGAAGATATCCACGACAAAACTATATTTAAAAACTAATTTAGTTATATATGACTCTGAAAATATTTTATGTAGTAAAGAAGATTTTTTGTAGTTATTATACTTTTTGACTAACTTGTCATTTCTTGTTTGCCAAGATGTGGAAGGTCATTACTTGTTTGCCAAGATGTGGAAATGAATTTTGTGTATGTTATTTGGTACGATGTCAAGTATTCGTCTTCAATAGAATTTTGATAACAGTTTTTTTTAAGATAAAATTACGTATGGATACTTTTGGGGGTCAATTGCCAAATGAAATGTCATTCGTTTGAAATTACGAGCACTATCCCCTTCCCCTCCCATGACATTTTTTTTTTTTCCCTTACTTTTTTCTTGTCTGACAATGCAAACACGAGACATGGGGCTTTTTTTTTAAGTTCCCCTTGTTCGATAAGGGCATATGCCCGATAAGGACCTTCATCTGGAACTTTCTACTAGCAAACCATCTACCGCCTCTCCAATCGAGAGCATATCCGATAATTAGAGCGGTCCGTGTAGTGGCCACACAAGAAGGGAGGCTGACATTTCATGAATTGACGATTTTCGTGATCAACATGTGATTGTTTTTCATTGCTGCTTCTATTGACTCCATCCACGTAGTGAAAACCACCCTATGACTCTAAAAAACATCCAAGAATTAGAAACTTTTTTCCTCAAGATAGGCAGAGCCAAGGATCCTAGAATCGGCGTTCTTGATCTGCTGCATATTGTCCGTATATTATCACCTGTGCTTTCTTTCCCTCTCTTTCAAATGCATGCCTCTAAAATCCAGAGGTTTCGGATGCCTCCAAAATCCAGGTATTTTGAGAGATAATTGATTTCTACTCTATTGGCCTCTTGTGGAAAACCCGTCTAAGAATTTGGAATGTTTGGGTAGTAGGCGAAAGGCAGAGGGTCTCTATTTGGGGATAACAGATAGAGAGATTTGCTGATGAGTGCGAAAACTTCCCTGCACGTCCAAGATTTGTAGAGTGAGGTGCCATAGATGGGCCTACTGCCTTCTCGTTAATTTTGGGTATAGCACATACCTGTCCAGTATTGAAAATGCTGGACAACATGGAAAAGACTTAGATAAAAAGAAACTTCATCGAGTGTTTACATTGCTGGACAAAGGGATAACTTAGAAAAAAACAAACCCCCATGGGAGGAGGGGGGAGGGCTTAGTAGTGCTCATAATTTCAGGCAAATACACCCCCCCCCCCCAAAAATAAAAATGCCCTTATGCTAATTTGCTTCTTTTTTAAAAAAAATTATTCAAATATTGGGCCAACCTATTTATTAAAAAAAAGTGTCATTCATAGAAAGTGTTATTAAATAATTGTTATTAATTTTTTTCCCTTTCTATTGTAATTGGTAAAAGAAGAGCAAGTTGTATAACTTGTGGTGATCATATGTTGTTTAGAATAGATATTTCAATATATTTATGCACAGTGGAATGTTAGAGCTTTATGCAACAATGAAAGACCAATTTGTATATAAGAATGTGATAATGTAAGATGTCATTGTAAAGGATTATCTTGGATGCCATGGAAATATTAAATTAGTTATTAAAGTTTTAATAAATATAATGAACTAGTTTTGTAAAAGCAAAACAAAATTACAAATGTGAAAATGACTAGAATGTTAATTCTGATGAAGAAGTGATGATCTATTTCTTTGTAATATTCGTTGAACTTGCCTGAATTTCTGTTTTAATAAATAGATATGATTAGTTCGAATATTAGTTCTTGTCAATATGTTTAATTTATTTAATATGTTTTTACCTCCTTTGTGTTCTTGAATTCTAACATATGCAAGAATGATGGGCTTTTGACTAAAAGAAGAATTTATCCTTTCCTTTCCTAGTTCTTCCCACAATATTACTCGAATGCTTTCGTTTCAATCAAAATGCTAGCTTTTTTAAATTGGATTATGAAATAATTATAAAGTAATTTACGATAAATAATAAAAAGAAAATTTTTATATAAAGTTGCAACCTACTTGAAGTAACGGGCACCTCAAAAATTCTATATTGGAGAGTATTCCAGTATAGGAGAACCCTCCAATTGATCATCTCGATCTTGAGATTAATGGATATCAAGAAGAAAGAAAATTTCAAGTCCAAAAAATAGTGCATCTTGTAACAAGTTATTTACCATCTATTTTCAAGTATTTCTTGATCTGCTCGTTTTTAAAATTTTAAATTTTACAATTGAGGATGAAAACAGATTTTGAGCCCATCATAAAATTTTCGACACTGAAACATCTTTAAGTAAATTTTATAGATGCACCTTACTTTTACTTTACGGAGACAATCTTATACAAACCTCACCCATAAGAAAAATAGGGATATGACATACATTTAAGAAGGGTAGTGGAGGGAGCATACTGTCAATTTACTCCCTTGGAGATTAAACCTAGACTATCCACTTTTTTTTAGGGTGAGATTTAAGTTTCAGAAAACTTAATGTTCAAATTTTCTTATGAAAATAATCATAGCGATTCTTAGATAGTTCCCAAAATTTCATATTCAATAAAATCCTAAAAAGTAGGTTTTCTGTCCAAGGGAGTAAATAAATCGTATGCTCCCATACACATTATAAGATATTTTCATGAATTTCCAAAAAATAAAATAAAATTCAAGAATGCCACACATAAATCGAAGGGTATGGTTTGTATAACGCTGAGGCTCTAAACAATTAAAGTAAGGCACACTTTCAATTAGTGTCAAAAGATGTCGTTTCAATATCAAAAATATTTATGATGCCATGAAAATTTATTTTCAGCTCTAATTATAAAATTTAAAGCTTTTAAAATAATGCATATCAAGCATATCTATGAACACTTTAAAATCTTGAAAATTGATAGTCCGCGCATTATAAGATATATACTATTTTCAATACTTGAAGTCCATTTTTTTAATCCATGTATCTCAAAGTGGAGATGATTGGATTTTAGGAATTGTTTTTTTGGGTGCGGTTTGTATAGAGCTAAGGCTTTAAACAATCAAAGTAGAGCGCACCTTCAAATAGTATCTAGAAATATGGTTTCAATACTGAAAATCCTTAAATATATTTCCGTCTTTCATTATAAAATTTAAAGCTTCAAATATAGTGTAGATCGAGCGATTTATGAAAACTTGAAAATCTTGAAAATTGACAGGCCAAAATGCGTTACAAGATGCATTATTTCAAAACTTGAAATCTTTTTTTTTTTTTTTTTCTTTATATCCATGCATCTTGATGTTGAAACGATTAATTTGAAGATATTTGGGCATCAAAACAACATCTTCTAGTGAAAAAATTGGAGCTAGGCTCTAATTTGATTGTTTAGAGCCTCGGCTCTATAACAAACTTTTTCGTTCTTTTTTTTTTTTTGACGTCAAAAAAGCCTTTTCTATTGAACTTTTGAGGTGTGCCTTTTATTGTTGGAAACAGTTTATACAAGGTTGCAACCTTAACTTTTGAGGTGTGCCTTTTATTGTTGGAAAAAGTTTATACAAGGTTGCAACCTTAAAATGTAGAATTATAAATGCACCTCAAAAATCCATCGGAAAATATTGTTTTAGTGTTATTGGTAAAAAAAAAAAATGTTGTTTTAATGTTGAAAAACCTTCTAATTGATCATCTTGATATTGAGAAGTATAAATATGAAAAAAAAAAAAAGATTTTGAGTCTTAAAAATAGTGCATATTGCAACATATTTTCCAGGCTATTTTCAATATTTTCATATACTTATAGATCTACT